TTTGGTGCAGATCCAGTAAAAAATGTTCCCACATTCTTTAACATTGCAGCATTTATCAACATTTCCCTTATTTCCCAGGAAATGATTCATGGATCTAAAAACGAACCTATAGGGGACTGATAATCATGTGTGTGTAATTTGGAGCTGCTTGATTGCATTTAAGGAAACTGCTGGGCCTTGGCAGAGGTATGCTGTCTACTGAGTGCCATTCTGGTTCCCATTAGATTTTTCTCACGCAAGATGTCTAATATATGGCAAGAATTATCAATATTTAGATAAATATATTTGTCTTTCCTATCTGCAATGAGGTCAATAACAACAGCTTTGCCCTGAACCACAGAATGTTAGATAGTTGGACAAAAGCGTGGATACTTGACCAGAGTTCGTCAGACCCGTCGGGATGGGTCGGGCTGGTTCAGTCAAACATTTTTAATTGATACTTAGATTAAGGTTGGGTTCAGATCACGTTGACTGGGCCACTTATTTGTTTTATACTTCATGTGCCTGTAATAAGGTTTGGACACAAAAATATACTTTTTATTCCAGTCAGGCTCGGTTACTTTTCACTCAGACAGAAAACTGAGGCCCAAGCTGCACAAGAAGATGGACTAAGTAAATGCTCAGCCTTCTATATGTTAAAGGGCTAAAGCCTTTAATGTTTTTATACTTAGTTGAATTTCAGGATACTTCAGAAAGTTAAGATGGGAAAAAAAAAAAAAAAAACTTTCTTCACTTTACTCTAAAACTGCCTTTGTATTGTGCCTCAGGCAGCGCCGGATGAAAGAAGATATAATGTCCTCAAACAAAATCAGCCACACACAGGCATTGTTCCTCATCCACCAGACACCGCTTTATTCTGTGTGTATCAAAGATCAGACAGAACTTCATCATACCCTCATCCTGTCCCCACCAAATCTTCACTGTCACTGTGAATCAGTGAGAGTGTGTAAATCTACTCTCACGTCCTCCTCTCCAGTTTCAGGAATCATGCCAGAGTGGGCTGACAAACTCAAAAGGGTCTGTGACTGGCGTGCACTGTGGATGTTTTGTCCTGAGACACGCTCTGTTACCCTACACTGCTACGATGGAAATGTGTGCATGTGAAATGGGTTCGGCCGTAACCCTCCAACAGGGTCCCATAATTCATAGTAATTGCTTGAGGTGCCCTTTTAGTAGAAAAGGACGAAAGCTCAGTGTTAGCATGATTTTATTTTTCGTACTTTCAAAAAGTTGATTTTGTTGAGAAAGTTAATTTTGTGTTGCTCCAGGAGTCAATGTACAACTTGTACTTTAAAAAGTGTGTAACACTGATTTTATACTTAAAAGTAGATCTTGAGAATTCAGAGGGTATATCCCTGAAATGGAATACTTCCATCAAACAAGATGAGAACAGTGAGTTTACAGAGGGGGAACTGGCTAACTCATCTCATTAACTTACCATAAAATAACTGTGCGAGGCCAAAAACAGGGTGTTTCTCCCCACACACTGAACTCAGCTTGTTTCTTATTTCAGATCAGTATAAAATTGTGGTCTCCACCGCCTAGCAAAAGCTCAAATCTGGTAATTTTCCATGGTTTTACAAGAACGTGTGAGTCATATTCGTTTTCAGTTTGGTTTCGGCTGTGGTAAATATTAAGCGCAGGACTAATGAAAACAACTGGGAAAACACAGTGCCATCCCCCAGTGCAGTTAAAGAATCAATAAGACTTAACCTCTAAGCTGATTTTATTTTCTCTTTTTGGAAGAATCCGAACAAAACAAATCAACCTTAAGCCGTGTCTTTGGTTTTTATAATTGTATTCAATCTGTAAAGCCCTGGCTAGCGCTATTGTAATCCATTCCAAGAAAATCTTATTATACTTTCATAAGCTCCTTATCCAGGTGCTGGCAAAAAGACACTCAGTGTGGAAAACCCCTCTGCTCAATATGGAAATGGGGATTATTTGCTAACTTTCTTTGCATCTTCTAAGCCTGCTTTTACCACATGTCTTATTGTCCCACAGAAGTCGTAGTTGTTATGCAGAGGCACAAACTCAAAGCTCCTTTCCTGCCTCCCAGTGGATATTTGGCACTGTAACATTCATTGTTTGAGCAGGTTTGGACACGTAAACATGACTGATCACATCAACACCATGGGACTGGTTCATTTCTGCCTTAAAAACAACTGCTCTCGTTTATGTATCATGGGGAGCTTTGTGTCTGAGCGGTAATCAACACAACAAGGAGGCTCACAGCCAATTAGCAGGTGTGATGAACACAGCTACGCTCGTCTGATAATACTGCAAGTACACGGAGAAACTACTGATGTCTATCTGGAGAGAACATATGATCCTTTGGGATGAGAGTCATCAATTCTAAGATAAATACATGTTTTAAGGTTAAGTTTAAGTTAAGGTTAAGGGTTGTACAAGTAGTAACTATGGTAAGTTTATGGGTAAAATGTGAATTGTAGTTAAGGTTAGGAATATAACGCAAAGTCCTAATAAGTATATATACACAAACCTGTGTGTTAGTGTGAGGAGGTTTAAAATGATTTGTGTGGGTATATGAATGTGTCTTTAGTTTAAATCGGTATCATTGTCATTTGTGCAACTAAGAGTCGCCTTATTATTTGCATGATATGTGTAATCACTGTTCTCATCTGATACTGTCAAGTGAAATGTTTCCACCCGCCCCAATGTCCAAGCAGTTGTAATATCATACCTTAACCACTAGAGTTCACCCTAAGCAAATGCTTAGAAAAATGATACACCAACAATCTCCAGTCCTGAAGTTGTGCAGTGTGGAACACTACAGTGGTGTAATAACTGTGTAGCAATGCACCATAAAGACTTTACTTAAATTAAAGTTAGTGATCAAAAATGTAAATTTATTCACATGGTGCCCCATTATGGTAAATGTAAAAAAAAACAACGATAGAATATTTGCACTGATCCACTGACCGTACGTTTTAACCTTCATGTGGACGGCGATAAATATTACGTTCAGGGATCAATACAGCATCTCCATCGCTGCCAAGGATCATAAGTCATCTTCTGCACGCATCTGGTCATCGGTGCACTATTTGTGCCAAGACCCTCTCTCTCTAAATGACGCCCAGAAATCCTCCAATAGGATTTCTCCAAGCCCACCGCACGCTAGATGTTAGCATCACTTTAATCAAAGTGAGGCCGTTTAGAGTGACACTGCAGTGGTCCCTGTGAAGAGCACTGTGACCAGGCCTTGACAGAGACTCAGCCATGACCTTGCTGCATTACTTGATTTGAATTACTGTCCTGCACCATAATGTAAAAACCACTGGGGGAATATGCCCAAGTTTCATAGCCATGATCAAGGAGGGCCACCACAGACCATCAACATCCTGCTTTATTGCTGCATTTATCACCATTATATACTGCTGTCCGGGGGCCATGACGCTGTTTGGCTGATGAAAAGGAAAAGGAAACCTTGGAGTTATTGTATTGTCTTCTCACTTAGCACAGATGAGCAAAGTGATAAAGAGAAGCTGGATGTAGTGAAGGTCCACATGTACTAATAATAATTCCTTCACAAATCACTGTCTCCCAGCAGCAGGGCCCCTTAAAACTGAAAAAATCAATCAATGAACACAATACGACAGACGTAGAGAGTTTGTCTTGGAGGCACTAAAGCAGAGATTATTTAAAACAACTAAATAAACTTGGAGATGCAAAGACTTCTGAGCTGTATCTATTTTTTACACTGTACGAGCCTGTAATTGAGGAAAACATCAGGCTTAGCTAAGAAGATGCTCGAGGTCAAGTTGCACTTAAATGTAGCACTTTGTAGTTTGGCTTTTTTGAAGCTTATGTACCAACATGATTCTTGCTGTTTTGGGTTTGTACCCCCATGGTTGAATGCACTTACTGGAAGTTGCTTTGGATAAAAGCGTCAGCTAAATGATATGTAATGTAATCCAATGTAATGTTTTTTCTCTGGCCAGGTGATGGCTTGGAAAACAAATTCCCCCAAAAATTCCATTTATCCACGACAAAATGTGATGGGTTCCTCCCTCACAACCTGAGATTACACCGCATTTAATTAAAAAAGAACTGAATTAATCATTTGTTGCAGCTCCTCTCTGTGGAGACATGTGGCCTTCCCTGCCACACGTCAATAAAGAAACGTGACCTTCTCCGTGACCCTGATGAAAAGATCCTGCTAACAAGCGTTTAGAGCGTCAGTGCTGTGACAGTGGAGCAGGAAGTGAAGGCGTTCATAGATTGTGTGTCACCTCCGACAGTGGCTCTGAGGGGATGGGAAAGACACTGACACCTTGTAATTGGGGACATGTTGTAGACAGAGGGAAGTAAAGTGTGTCTAAATGAATGTATAACCTTCCTTTACAGGAGAGTAACTGTGCATGGATACGTTAGAGAATAACTCCTGCAGGTAAAGACTTCTACAAAGAGAACAAGTGCGAGAGAAACAGGGAAAGTTACTTTTACAAAACACTTTGCAATAAGTTCAGTTTGGCATGAGGCATTGAGCAATCTGAGCTTCCACAGCACTAAACCAAAACAAGACATCCTATCCTATGCTCCATTTGTCACATCTTCATCCATCTCAAGTGGAGCGACGCGTGTTTATACGTGTATACATACACAGAGAACCATAACAAGTTAATCAAAGCAGCTACTCCAGTTGTCAGTGTGAAGACCTACGTTTAGACTCATTGGCTGAGAACATCTGGCCCAACTATGTAAACAGGAAGTAGAGTTTCCTCTAACAGCTAAGACACTCTTCAAGTGCTCTTCAGTGGAGCAACATAAACTAGCTGCTGCTGTGCTCGTGTAGCCCTCCAGTCACAACACATACAAAAAAAACACCTGAATAGATCTGAGCCACAATCAACTAAGTTGGTGCATTTTTGGTGAGTCAGTTTGGCTCATGAGCAGCTCAGTGCTGCATACACAAACATTTAATGTTAATTCACACAATTTGTGAATGTGTCTGAGAGCAGGTGGTGTAAAAACATTACCCAGAAGCTCCATGGCATCGTCCTCATCCTCCATCTCTTCTTCTGCAACAGAGGGGGTCGGACTGTGAACCGAGTCAAACGAGTCCTGGGACAACATGGCTGCCAGGAGCTTCTTATGATGCTGCTGCTGTTCCTTCAGCCCTTTGCTCTTTGTTTCCATCTTGAGGCTGAAGGTGACATGAAGAAGAGGAGGCACAGCTAATGAGGAGCAAATAACATGACCAGGCTTGTATCTGTGCACAATCAAGTTTTCTAGCAAGGACAGAACTGCTGCATTTACAACACATGACAATTTAATGCTGCTTGCAATGGATGCACCAGTGGAAAACACTATTGCTGCTAAAGACATTACTACCTAAATGTTAGCATGTGTTAATAGGACCAGAAAGCTTTGTTTATTAAATCAAACCCCTTCACATTCTTCTAGTGCTGGGCATTCCTTCTGTCAAATTGATTTACATGGAAAATCTCCAAATACCATCTCTAACACCTACACAGTTAAAACACTGATACGCTTATGAAGACTGCATTACCTCTATATTGGAGAAATTAATTTCTATATTCCAATAGCCGAGGGCACGGATTAGAGAGCAGGGAGAGTATTAATTTGATACTAATCTCAGTTTAATGACTTCTATTTACAGATAATGAGAAAGGGGTCATAAGATGACGGATATTTCTTCATACCCTCAGAATGGTAATTACATCTGGTAATATGGCAGAGGCAGGGTGGCTGGTGTGTGGTGCTGCACATATTTCACTTTTCTTAAAATGTTCTAGGTTTGGACAGTGAACAATATAAATCTGACTGTTCTGTGGAAGAACACTGAAGATTTTCCTGTGGTTGCAAAAGTATTTCAAGCTAGAAATTGAAATGTTAGCGGTGCAGAAGTGAAAAATGTGGAGGAAAGCAGAGAGGAGGAGGGTGTTTGGGCATCTTATTTCTGATACTTTCTTTTTCACAGGTGCACACATCTATGTTTTTTCTGCCTAAACTGCTTTAAAACATGCAGTGAAATCTGGATTTTTTTCTGAATGTATATATGTAGAAAACACAAATGTCTGAATCAGTTGTTCTGTAGTTTCTGGAACTGTTCCTGCAAACAGAAGAGGAGCCATTGTGACCCAGTGTTAAGATGATTTAAAACTAATCGAGGAAAAAAAATTGTAATAATAATCTCAGATGCTAAACTATAAATATCCGGGTTAGCAGGGGCACTTCCGCTCTGCACTCGACTGTGATGAGCAGCAGCAAAGTTCAGTGTGCTCCCTGTGAACTGTTCTCAGATCAGCGGTGAGTTGACATGTTCTTGCATGATGTGTGATCTGTGTTAGAAATGTTACTGCGTGTTTTCAACTCCTACAACTGTTAGCGTAGCCTCCGCTAGCCACATGCTAGCCGCAATACAAAACTCCCATAGGGAAATCGCTAATTTAGTGATGAAGGTTGGTGTATATGTTTAACATGTATTTATTCTGTAGGGCTTTTCCCTAATAGCTCCCGTAGATTTTGTTTGCATTTCGGTTAAATGTGTTTGCCTTGTTCTTAGTTAATGGCTTATTTATTCCATATATTACGTTAATAGCTTTAACCAAAGGTGTTTTTAATTTGAACTATAATCCTTACTTTTCTTCATGAGATTTTGGATATATGTTGTACAACCAGCTTGAACTATTTATTTATTTTTCAGGAAGTGAATTTTTCCCTTTTAATTCAACGTGGAATCCCTTGGACCCAGTTGAAACTATATGAATGAACTGAACTAAAACGATGAAATGAAAATATATGAATGAACTGAGTGTATTTTTGTATTGCTGTTTATTTTTGTGGTTTAAAGGAAAAGTGCAATACAGATATAATTGAAAACCTACCTGTGTCTCCTGTGTCATGACATTCATACTTATACATCCCACCGAACCTTGCAGTCTATAATAATTATCTGGCTACAGCCAATTGTCTACACACTTCAGAAACGTAAAGGTGGAAAAGAGTTAATGGGTCAAAACATGGAGCTTTCTGCAGCAGGATTTATAAATCATATCCTGTCTCAATGCTCTATCCAGACTGAATGTTCTCAAACATTTCTCCCGTAGGGACCAACCTCAGGTGTCATAAAGCCAGTAAACAGAATTTAAAATAGGTGAAAGGCTACAAAGCTGTTTTTCTCCACCACCTTATTTATCTCTATCGTCAGTTTTTATTCTGTGTATTTAGTGTTCTGTAAGTGTGATGTTAAGAGCAGGAGAAGGGATATAAGAAGAGGATAAAAGTTCAGCGTATGACACTGACTGCCACTGGATGATAAAGTTCCATTCCCCTGGACAGAGTCTGTCAAAACAAGACATTTTCTTAAATGTACTTCTGCCACAGTTGCATCTGATTTCCCATGTGCCCCTTGGATTTATCCTTCTAGACTCTGCAGTCAGTCACCAGCACCTGTCAGCTCGCCTTATGTTCCTCAGTGACAGGTGGGCTGGAATGAGGGACACAAGCAAGAGGAGCAAAAATAAAAACAAGTAAACAAAGTAAGGGGAGGGAGATGGAGTGGTTTGACAAATAAGGTCATATACATGAGAAAATGTGAAATCTGAAAGCGCATGTGCACCAGAGGGGATGGACTATTGAGGTTCACATGGGATTTAGAGTGTCAGTGCTGTGTGCCAGATTTCCAGTCCTTATTGTTAAGCTCCTTTTGTAAAACTTTTAACAAATCTTACAGTTTATTGATCTTCAGTTGTGAGGCTTGGAAACCTTACTTTAACCTACATTTTAAAGTAGACTTACTGTTTTTTTCAGATAGATTTCAATCCCCAGACTGAATCTGAAGAGGGAGCAAGTTCCCACTAAATGCAATTAACAGCTGATAGTTGAGATGAGCAGACTGAGGGAAGGAGCTGTGATTAGTGTGGGGATGCTGCACCGTCCCAAACACACAGCAGCAACCCTCTCACACTCCTCCATAGGTAAACACAACACAAAACAACACACACACAGAGGAGAGCTCATCGGCCAACCCACACACATCTCCATCTCAGGCTCCTAACTAAGTGATTTCTCCCTATAATCCACCCATACAGTAACCTAATGAGATTAACACTGTGTATATGTCAGCTCAGGCCCGCGCATGATTTATGGGTTTATATCCGATCTTCCTCTAATTAGTCACATCGGCAGCTGCAGTGCGCTCGTGTACACACACACACACACACACACACAGTCACACACAGTCACACACAGTCACAAGTCCAAGAGGTAGCTGGCTATTTTGGGAGTTTTGCAAAAGTATGAGTGGAAAAAAAAAAAAGATTCCAAAGAGAGTGACAAATTATTGAACAGTTCAATACATGACAGCTATATTGTGAAAGATGGGCCATTTTTAAAATGAGCACAAAATTCCTTTGGCCTTGAGCGTGCAGAAATTAGGTTAGCTTTAATACGAAATTGGGTTGAAGCTCTATCATGGAAAGCATGTTTGATCACGCCTTTGAAATGGGATTATCAAACCCATTCAGATGGGCATTCCTCAGGCAGCAGGAGCCACAGTCAGAAGTCTACCTCCTCATTTTTAAAGAGCCAACAATGGCTTTGTGAAATTTTCTCAAATTTTAAAGCGACTCTCACACACACACACACACACACACACACACACACACACACACAAATATAGGATGACAGTCACTACCTCCGAGCAGGACTGCTGTCTCCACTCCAGCAAACTTCAGTTTTGGTCCGAGGGACAGGGGGGTGCAGCATTTCAGCAGCAAGTGGGTCTGCGTCCTCTTCCTCTCGACCAACCCACTCCCCAACCACACGGGGGCGCAACACTGAGTTATAACCTCCCAAGTTCTACAGAAAGCATGAGCAGCAAATTAACAAAGACAAAAAAAATACAGATTTTACAAGAGAAAGTACAAGTGAAATATTTACTTAACACTATGTACTTTTAATTTCAGCATGAAATTGTAACGACAGTGAGACTTTGTTCTTTATAATAACTTTATGTTCACAGGGTAACTTCTGAAAGGCAGCTGAGTATTGTCTGAGATCTGTCTCCCTCTAATTGTGCTCCCAAATACCAGCCAGCACATATTTCAAACCCTGCCCACTACAAAAGCAAAGACACGTCTGCTTGTCTTCGGTAAATCTGGGGTAGTATCAAGTTCCATTGTCTCTGCATAATCAGTACAGGTGTTTAGTATTCATTCTGTCCCATCCCACAAAAAAACAGGGAGGTCTCTGGGCTGAGAGCCAAGGACAATTGGACATGTAGTGTTGCACTGAGCAAAGAGTGAAGTCCCTGTCAAAACACATGCTGTGTTTCTCATCCAGAGCCCAACATTTCCAAAATCACCGTGTGCATCTCCGACCTGAGCGGCCAGTGCACGGTTGTGTGGGGAGAGAATTAGGAGCCAGACAAGGACAAAGACAGGCTCAGGAAAACAAAGCTTTAAAAAATAAGATACACAGTGAAGCGGCAAAGGAGAGGGAGGCAGAGGACACGTGAACCAGAGTCTCACATCCACATATCACTCCTATGAGATAGCTCAGCACCAGACAAAGAGGAGCTGCTCTGAAGACCACATGTAAGGTACACCGAGACAAAGCGTAGTTTATTTGATGTAGTATAAGCGATGCTTCTGAGGAACAAAACTATATAGTCAATATTTATGAGTTTATCAAAGGCTCCAGTCTAGTGAACACCTACCTGGTCGAGCTCGTCAGAGATGGCAATGCCTGCAGAGAGAAGAAAACACTTTAAAGCACAGAGAAGCGTTTAATGCTGAAATCCCAGTTTAGACTGTTTCTGAGCTTCGCAGCAAGTTTGTAAGATTAGCTGCTCGATCTTTTTTCCTCCCAGGATTTGCAGTGACATTTACAGAAAGGTCTACACTTTACTTCTGTATGTTAAGATGTATTAAGCACTGCTCAGTACAGTGGAAGCGTGTAGGGTGCTGTACTGCAGACACTCACTGCGAGAAAGGCTCTCCAGGGCCTTGCCCAGCTTCTTGCTCTCCTGCAAAATGTGGCTGAGTTCGTCAAAGTCCCGACTCTCCCTCCAGTCCCACGCGGGGCACTCGACTGACCGCGGCACTAGACACGGCAAACACACACAAAAATACAATAAGGCAACACAAATAAAAACAACCACATGTGAAAGATAACACGTGAATGCACATTTGTCCAAAGTGGACTTTGTGAGTTATTGCAAAGTGAAGAGAGGAACAGAAACAGAAACACAAGCAGAAAAGCAGAAATGTCTCAAGGATGCTGCCTGGGGGACAGTGTCCGTCAGTCTCTTAGATTAACATTCAAGATAACTCAAAGAGGAGCAGCAGATGACCCACATACAGTACTGACATCCAGCCCACGTCCTCCGGCACCATTGCTTGGCTTGTATATAATGTTTAATTCATAAACTGTTGGATTCAGAATTATTGATAAAGGAAAGAGCAACATTACTTTGAAGGGGGGAAGGAAATACTTGTCGTGGTATCCACATATAATACTTTGATGCTCTAAGACACAGACATGTTCACTTGAAAGTAGAGCAAAGGATTTTAGAATAAATCTCACACGCTTTTAGAATTCAACATACGTGTTGACAGGTGCTGAATGTGAGCATCACTCCTGTTTGCATTTGCACAGATCATGCTTTGTCAAATAAATCAATGCGATAGAGAATATTTGTCAAAGCTGCTGCTACAATCTGCTATGCTCTACACTCCTCTACGCTTCTTTACCCTGACTAAGCTCTTTGGCATTGTAACAACCAGAAACAGAGCGAATGTCTCTGCCAAATACAGACTGGAGGGAAGAAAAAAAATCTCTTGTTACTTCAAGCTAAGAGTGCCTTTCTGTTTTCTGCTCTGCTGTGTGTGTTGTGCTGCTGCATCAGCAAAAGGCTGTGCTGTGTCTTAATAGCTTAGATTAAGGGTTAAGGATTTAATTCCCATGGGGGCTGTCCATTAAAGCATCAGTCAAGCAGACGTGAGGCCAATGCACATTAACCCTCTGCAAAAAAGAAAACGCCCTCATGTAACAGTGAGTCATTTTGATCAGCGCATCAGTGGAAGCTCTGTATGTTCACCACAGCTGTTGTGTTGCTCTAGCTCCACAGACAGCGATGATGTGAAGCTGTACATTTGATATACATTTTTCATCAGCCCTGCACACAAAACACCTTTCCATCTATTTTTAATATGATTTGACTTTCAATGCAGCTTTGAACGCATCTTACGCTGAAGGGGCTAAAAGGAATGGAGCCAACGCTCCGAACTGAAGTGCACCTCTGTGTGCATGTTGTTTACTTTATTCCGACTTCTCTTCCTCACTTAATTTCTTTTTGCTCACTTTTATCCACTCGTCTTGTTTCCATTTGATTGTGAGCAATCCTACCCGCAGCCTGAAATAGACTTGGTCTGGCACTGACAGAGCACAATGTTAAATAATTGAAGTAGTGCATGGCCCTAGCCTGATTTTCTCAAGTGTCATACTTCACTCTAATGCCATAGCGATAGTGATTTATTGCAACTAAAATCTCCTCATCTGCTTCCATTCTGAACTGATGCATGAACTTTGTGAAGAGTTCATCTTGAGAGTGTGCAGCAGCAGTGAACAAAAAGTGGCACTTCATAATGAACTCATCAGCGGGGCTATAAGAGGCAGGGGGAAGGATGTTGGACTATACAGTGTGACTAACTTTAATTAGATACAATTATATCAAATTAAAAATGGAGATTAAAGTCAATGAAGCATGTAATTGGGATACAAGCGATACAACAGGTATCAGAAGTGTGCACCTTCATATTTTGTGTGTATGTGTGAGATCACGAAAAAGTGGAAAACTTTTCTGATGAGCGCAGAGTGCACAAATCAATAAGAAACTTACGAGACTTGGATTCTGGTGAAGGAGGAGAGATACTCGACATGGCCAGGTCGCTCTTGGATTTCTTCGGTTTCTTTGGGTGAATTTGCCATGGCTTCTCATAGCTGCTGTACTCCCTTCGAGTGTTTTTGCTTTCTGTTGGTAGAAATAGTCTCAATAAGCGTCCAGAGCACATTCTTAGAGAGTGTAGATGCACAGAAAGTTTACTCTGCCAGCTCTGTTGTCTGTGATGCAGACTATCGGCTGTTTTAACCTACTATTAATCATAGCCTGTGGATAGTGTAGGGAGGAGTAGGTACAATGATAAATGCCTCATTATGCATGCATGTGCACATTTTGCACGCTTGCAGGCTTATGTACCATTTAATCTATGGTGTGTACTGACCTGGGGAGCTCTGTGCCCACAAGGCTGCGGAGCCAGAGAGAGCTCTGTGCAGCTTGCCGGGGCTGACTTGCTTGGTCTGCAGGTGATCAATGAGAAAAGGGATTGGATGGTCTGGGGTCTCAGTTATCAATTTGGTCATCAACTCCTACAGGAGCAGAGTAAAGCAGAGGGCAGTTAGACAAAAGAGCGTATGGCCAGTGGCTTATCCAGCATGTTCAAGTGGAGATAATCAATCCCATACAAGATGGAGAACTCCTGTTTTGTAGTTAACTTCACTATCGAGGGAGAGTGCATGAAAACAATTGGCCCGTGTGGTGAGTTAATCCCTGTGTCTGCAATTTAGTTGCAGCAATTTGCTACAGTGTCAACATTCTAAAAAATAAAAAAGTTAGGCCAAACAAGACAACAGCGCTTCCCCAAAGATGGGAGCTCTTCCCTTTTGTATCAATTAGCAGCAAAGATGTCTGAGAGCTCCATCACAATCAGTCCGTCAAGACACAAGGAGGAACACGCAAACAAACACTGCCGAGTTATTCATTCCTTTTTTAAAGATAAGCCATTCCCTGATGTTTCAAGACATGAGCAGCAGTTTGTAAGAACAGACAGACACAGAAAAGACCCATCGGCTCATCCATAGTCTGAACTTATGATTTCTGTATTGGGAATAATCAAGTTACCTCAATGAAGAAAAATGCACTATTTTTATTCTCACTGGGGGAAAACAGAATAAAATGCACACAACAGGTTTTGATCTTGATTTATTGGTAAATTAGTAAAAGACAGGTAAAGCAGTGACAACGTTATTTTATTCTAAGGAAATGAGACACTGAAGAACAGAGGGTGGGGGAATTGTTAATATCGGACAGATTTACAAAGGGAAGCAGCCAAAACAAAATAAAGAGGGTGGAAAAGAAGGAAAGCACACAGGGAGCCACAGTAACAGGTGCTGAGGGTAGAGGCCACATCTTACTCCACATGCTACTTTCAAATCTATCAAGTGCATGATGGGAATTTGGTATCAAATGCGCCAATCATGTCATAACTACTCATGTCCCATTTCTGAGCTGTGCCCACTCATAAATAAAAACACAGTCAGTTATAAACTTGGTAAAACAACAAATGCAACAAGAAAACCCACGATCCATTAGAGAGAAATCTAAAAATATTTATGGCACCGAAGCAACTTTTCTTTTTTGTCGACTGGAGGGAAATACCGACGTCTCTGAAGCCGGTGTTTGAAGTGAACTGAGTGTGTGAGTGTGTGTGCTGACATGATCAGGAATGAGTATTTACTCTGTTTGAGTTTAAGCCAGACACAGGAGCCTTCGCAGACTTAGCTGACTTCAGGGTGACTGCAGAGAAGAAAGTCATTAGTAGACTGCAGTGAATTGGCAGTAATGTATTGATAATGTATGGATAAAGAGTGTGTGTGTGTGTGTGTGTGTAATACATTTACGTGTTTAATTGCAGAAAAACAAAGTCATGTAGTCGTACGCTCTGGTGGATGGTGCAGGTTTGCCCTTGTGGACCTGCTCATGTATCTGCATGTGTGTTTCAGGAGTAGCTTCAGGGAGATTGTGTGTGTGTGTGTGTGTGTGTGTGTGTGTGTGTGTGTGTGTTTGCACGTGTGTGTGTGTGTGTGTGTGTGTGTGTGGCTAGTGTTGGCTGCACTGCGCGTGCTCAGAAAGCTAATCAGGTAAATGGTCAGGGGGAAATTCCTGCTCGCTCCCAGTGTCTACCACTGCTCTGACAGTAAACAGCATGTGTAGAAACAAACAGGGGTCGCACTGAAATGGTTCACTGATGATTCAGGTCTGACAATAGAGGGAATACTCCTCCTCCGCATGTTGGGCTGAAGTGCTCTATAAGAGAAAGAGTCATATGAGAGAATCCTTTCAGAAAATATTCAGCACAGTTGGAATTAAGCACATCCTCAAAACTGCAATGGATGTCTGAGAATTATAAACCACCAACAGTGCAAAGACGTTTAAGTTGTAATTACTGCTGTGGGTGCTTTAACCAACCTACCAACAGGACGTCTATAAATGAAGGTTGTAATTTGGTAAAAAGACACAGGAAGTCGAACTACAACTCTGTTAACTTCCCCAGGGTTTCAAAGTCGTAATCGTTTTAGTGGGAGATGGGGTAATAAGGCAGACGTGCAGTTCTTTTTAAGGATGACTAGCAGATCATGATGGTGAAGGTTTAACACAACCACAGAAATCATGTCTGCTACAAACAGATCGATCAGCATTATATAATATTCACTACATGGAACAAGACAGAAACTAAAATATATGGTGTCACTAAATTAACAAGATTGATTTCAAGATGAAGCAGCTGAATGTTATTGGAAAGGGATGATCCACAATGGATTATGGGATGTGTAGTTTTTTTAAAATAATTATGTACACAGTCTTTTACCTTTTTTCCAATATTTTTTGCTCTGAATCAAATGTTTTATGGTTATGATTCATCTCGTGGCTGGTCAACCCGGATCCAGGATTTTTTGAAACGTCAATGGCGAAAATGAATGGGGGAAATTAACTCCCGGAACCAGGGCTATTCTTAAAGTGGGCAGTTACAACAAACGTAACAAAGACGGATAATGCAGATGCTGGAAACTGTTCATAGAAGAGGGAGCACATGTGGGTACATCTGCATTTAGCCCATATCTGTACCGTAAATAACAGAGTAGAGTGACTGCTTACTCTACAGAGTGTTTTACAACCATGACACAAGATGCTGGATGAGCTGACGCACCAGTGTGTCCTCCACGACCTCTAATAAACATCAGAAAAATGTAAGCAACCGATGGACTGAATCTACACGGTGGATTTGCGTACATTTCATAACTCACACATAGAGCCGAGCAAGGTAACTGTATCTGACACTTTCAATCTCTATGGTAATATTGTGATTTAAAACCATGAGTCCTGTTAAATAAGCCCGTGCAGTTTGACTGGTGAGCATATTTTGTTTGACAGGAACCATAGTAAGATGTTGAGAAAGAAATTGGGTCAACATTTTCTGTATTCAAGTAGACTTTAATGTTATTTGGCTTTAATGGAAAATGAAAAATGCATCAGCAGAACAGTGTGTGTGTTTGTGTGTGTGTCTGTCTGTGTATATGTGTATATGTATATATGTTTGTGAAAGAGATGCAGGGAGTCACAGCCTTGGCCTCACTGTTCAATAAGCAAGGCAACAGGTAGCATGAGCGACCGAGACGTGCAGCCCATATCTGTGCAGATCTGTTGTCGAGATATCTGTGCGCCCCAGGCAGTTTGGTTTGGCGGTTGGTAATCGACAAGCTGTCAGCCAGCCAAGAGACACCAGTGTCCTTGGAAGCTCTCAAGGATTCCCTGGGGACGGTAACAATCATGATACTCTCGCCGAAGCACCTTTGCATCTCAAACTTTTTCCCCCAAAGTAGTCTGAGAAAGGAGAGGTCAGTAATCAGGGAAAGTTCTGAAGGGCTTTCATGGGTGATAGATTGAAGGGCGGAGGGAGAGACGTCCACAGAGTTTAACGATGACAGAGACCATCCATCCTGCTTAAGTGTCATTATGAGGATAACAAATCTTCCCAGCCTTAAGGGGTTCTTTTCTATTTCCGAACATTGGGAACTCTTTGTGGGAATCAAAGACGGTATCACGAAGTAAGTGCACAGTAAAATAAAAGGCAGATTGAAAACAAAATTATATTTATTGACAGAGTTGAAGCAGCTAAGCCCTGAGATCGAAGCGACTTCCCTGAAGCTTTACCTTTTTTTTTTTGCAAATGATGAATTTCCACCTCAGCTGTTGCAGACTGTGGAACGTGAACCACCTGCACACAACACTTAAAATGCTCAGGACACATTTCTACGATGCCCTGAAATGAAAATGTATGCTAATATATTGTATATTTCAAGATAAATGCAGGGTAATTGCAGCATGTATTAGAATATATTTTACCAGGATAAAAATCACCATCACCAGCAGCACATTCTGAATTAAAACCAATCAACTTTTGGAGCTTGGGCTCTGATCAGCTATAAAACCTCTTTTCTTCACCACTTGTCCTTGTGTAAAAAACATTTAAAGGCAGCAGCAGCTCTTCCCAGAATTCCCGAGAGGTGCTGATTTACAGTGCCTGCCATTTGTCAGTGAAATATGGGAATGCAAAGTCACATCACAGGGTATTTAAGGTGATGTCTGCGTGTCTGTCCACTGAGCTTCAAACACATTGTTGGGGAGGAAAAGAACAATGTGACAAGCCCGATTAGGTGAAGAGGAGTAGAGTGAGAGAAAGACGCCACTGGAAGACATCCAGACCTTGAACAATCAGCAGACGAGAGCAGCAGAGATCAGACGGAAGAGAAGACCGTGGGAGAGGCAATGTCACCTGACCAGACGAGAGATAGTGAGATAGAGAGATAGATATTATCTACCTCACTCACTCCTCTGTTTTTTTTTAAGTTTCGCTTTTGCACAAATGTAGCTCTTAGCATGAGTAGTGGGGGACAGGCTCATTATTTTTTAATTAATCAACCAGAGGGCGACAGAAATTTCATTACAAGTGATCAATATTCCCATGGTTCATGTTGATAAATGTGCCCGTTGCTGAATTTTCCAAATTTTTAAATAAATTAAAGATATCGGGTCTTGGATTTAATTTTATCCACATTTTTCAATTAAGTTTTGTTGTTTTTTTATGGATATACAATGAGATCCTTTCCAAACTGCTCAAGAGTCACATTAAATGATAAACCCTAGAAGAGATTTCTGCACAAAACATGGACTTTGGATTTTGATCAATAACTAACTCTACAACCCAAAAAGAAGAAAAGTTTCTCAGGTAAAATAACTTCTAACCTTGGAAAAAGGGTTAAAAGACAAGATTCAGCAGGAAGCACGTCAGCCTTCCGAACCTAATATCATATTTAAACTCAGACACAGTGTATCACAGTAATCCCTCATTGAATTAACATACACACTGAGAAAATATAGGTCGACTGAAACGCCCGTATGCAGCAGATGATCAACTCCCCACACTCGAACACCAGCATGACTATAAATTACATACAGCAGTAAACCATGAGCGTCCTCAGGCTGTAATTGAACATGATAACTTTATTAGCATGCAGCACAGAGACACTGT